CCTCCACCCTCCCAGTATTGCCACTCTCACCACTGTTCCTGAGAGGTTATCTGTCCTGGATTCCCTGTGTTTCCAGTTCCTATCTGTACCAGTGTACACATCCTCTGGTCCAGGGCTCCGGGTTCTTGAGCCAGGAATCCAAGGCTGAGAAGGTGCCGTCAACACCTGTCCTCAGGTTTCCCTGACCACAGTTCAGTGTCTGGTATGGATGCAATACATGGATCCGGAAACCAACATCAAGGATTTTCAGTCCTCAGAGGTCAAGTGAGCAATTCACAAATGATTATCTGTGAGAGCTAGGACCATCTATCTGGGCAGTGTGCCTAAAATTCATTGATGCCTCTGTGGATGAGCAAGGAGCTCTTGTAGCCTAGTGGTTGGTTACACATTGGGCTGACACCCTTAAGGTCCACAGTTTGAAATTTACAGCTGCTCTTCGGGAGAATGACTGAGCTTTCTACTCCCGTAAAGAGTTGCACAGTCTGGGAAAGTGAAAGGGGGTGAGGGGCAGTTCTACCTTATCCTGTAGGGTTGCTGTGAGTCAGCATCAACTCAGTGGTAGTGAGGTGGTTTTTGTTTTTCTTTCCTTCTCTGAACAGGCTGTTGGCCTGATCTATCATAAGTAGGTTGACCTAAAGGAATAATAGACCTGACTCTGACCTCTAGCAGAAACTGCCCATCACACTAACTTGAGTATGAGAAGTGACATAGGTTACCCAAATTTCATACGCCTAACAGAAACACCATCTACCCCAACCCTGAAGTTCCACCCCTAGTCCAATCACTGCAAAAGACACTGCTACACACCAGGGGAGCAAAGTAGAGCCCTGTGGAAAGTTTCCTGGCCTTTTTGTGCTGTAGCTTCATCTCTGAAATGAGCAGAGTAATAGAATGAAACCTGTGAGAGCTGGAACTCAGCAGCATTGCCTTGTTTTTCCAGGTCTGACAAGTTCTCTGCTTCTGATAGGGTCCAGTCTTCCACTTTTCTATCACTTGTTGTAATGGAAGAGATTTGTGTTTTCCTTCTCTGACAGGTTTCAGCCATATAGAGGCCCCGACTTTCACAGGTTATGTTGGTAACACCTAACTTACAGAGTAGTGATGAGAAATGCATGCGCAAGGTGAAATGTGTAAAGCATGTACAATGATGTCTAGTATATTGTTAAGCCTTACAGGTGTTCCAAAAGGATGGTTCAGAATCCTTGCTTCTCCCCACTTGTTTACGCCATGTCCACTCTAGTGCTAGGGCCAACAGGTTGGTCTGACTCCTTGCTCACTGCTTTTGTTTAGCTTCTTCTAGTCCAGATTCAAGCCACTTTGCTATCCTTTCCTTGAAACTCAGGTAGGTTTATACTTGCTTCATAAAATGAATTTGGGAGGTAGCTGCCCTTTTCAGTTTTATTGACACCAGCCTATGTTAGCTTAGGTAGGTAGTGTGTTTCTAGAAACTTGCTTATTTCTTCTAGGTCTCCATATTTGTTGGAGCACGGTCCTTCACAGTATTGTATGATCTTTATTTCAGTTGGGTCTGTTGTGATGTCACCATTTCATTTCTTATTTGTGATGTTTTCATCTTCTCCTTTTCCTTTGTTAGGTTTGCCAGGGGTTTGCCAGATGTTTGTCAATTACTTCTAGGAACCAACTTCTGGTCTTGTTGATGTTTTCTATTATTTTTCTATTTCTATTTTCTGCTTCATTTATTTCTGTTTTAGTATTTATTATTTCTTTCCTTCTTGTGGTTGAAAGTTTATTTTGCTATTCTTGCTCTACTGGTTGGAGATATTGCATTAATGTGCTGATTTTGGGTTTTCTCTGTTGATGTGTGCATTAATTGCTATACGTTTTCTTTTGAGCATTGCTTTAGCTGTGTCCCAAAGTTTTATTATTTTTAATGTTGTATTTTCATCCTCATTTGTTTCAAGGAGTTAAAATTTTTAATTCTTTCTTCAGTTATTCGATATCCATGTAGGTCTTTATCCCTCGATCTTCCTATTGTTGATACTTAATTTTATAGCATTGTGATCTCAAAAGGTGGTTTATAAAATCTTGAGATTTTAAAATCTACTAAGGCTTGCTTTGTGCTTAACAGGTGGTCTGTCCTGGAGCATGTTTCATGTGTGCTGTCGTGGGGTGGGCTGTTCTGTATATGTCTGAGAGGTGAACTTGATGACAGTGTTTAGTTCTTCTGTGTCTTTGTTGAGTTTCTTTCTAGTTCTGCTCTTTAGCATTGTATACTGAAGTCTCCTACAATGATTGCAGTGCTGTCTATTTCCCTTTTCAGATTTCTAAGAGTTTGATTAATGTGTTTTGAAGTTCTTTTATTGGGTGTATAAACATTTAATATAGTTGTCTTGTTCAATTATCCCTTTATCATTATGTCATGTCCTTCTTTGTCTCTCTTGGTGGGTTTTGCCTTGAAGTCTATTTTATCAGAGAGTAATATTGCCACACACACCCCTTTTTAAAAATCATTTGATTGGGGGCTCATACAACCTTATCACAATCCATCCATCCATCATCCATTGTGTCAAGCACATTTGTACATTTGTTGCCATCATTCTCAAAAGCCACACCCACTTTTAAAATTGTCATTCGCTTAATATATTTTTTCATCTTTGATTTTCAGTCTATTTTTGTCTTTGTGTCTATGGTTTGTTTCTTATAAGCAGTTTATCAATGGGGATAGTTTTCTTATCTATTTTGATGCTGTCTTATGACTGGTACATTTAATCCATTTATATTGTAGTTATTGATAGGTATGATTCTATCGCTGTCATTTTCCTGTGTTTTTTTGTAGTGTTGTTGCTTTCTTTCTTCCTTGTAATTTTCTATGCTAAGTATGTGTATGGGTTTTATGTGTACGGGTTTTTTGGTGCCTTCTTTGCCCTTGTTTACTAGGTCCTTGTTTACTAGGTCCTAGTGGTTTTCCTCTTTCGTGTGTGTGATGAGGTTTATCCACTTTCTCGGAGGTTACCTTGCTATTTATTACTTTCTTCTCAAGTTTAAAACAGTCTAATCGCTCTTGAAATCTGCTTGACTCCCCCACCATTAGATGGTTTCATATCTACATTAATCCCTCTATTTACTTTTTAATTATCTTCCTTGTGGATGGATCACTCTGGCTTCCTATTTTCCTTTTTGCAAGTTTGTTTTTCTTTGATTACCACAGGGCTTGGGTTGGCTTCTTGATGGCGTTGTCTTGTATTACTGATCCCAGATATCATTGTTGATTTTCTATCCAAAGAACTCCCCTTAGTCATCTTTCTAATGTTTGTTTTCACAAATTAATTTCAGAAATGTCCTTTTTCACCCGTATTTGAGGGACAGTTTTGTTGGATTTAAGATTTTTGGTTGGCAATTATTTTCTTTCAGACTTTTAAATATGTCATTCCACTGCCTTCTTGGCTACATGATTTCTGTTGAAAAATCAGCACGTAGTCGTATTGGCTCTCCATTGTAGGTAACTTTTCATCTTCACCACGGAGCTCTCAGGAGTCTTTCCTTATCTTTGATTTTGGAAAGCTTGACTATGATATGCTATTTTTTTTCATTTCACTTATCCTAATCACACATCCCTTTTACAGACAATTCCACTCTGCGGTTCTGTCCTCCAGTTTCAAAGTCCATAGCAAATACAAAGTCAGTAGTTCGAAACCACCAGTTACTCTTTGGGAGAAAGATAAGACTTTCTACTCCTGTAAAGAATTAGTCTCGGAAACCATAGGGGCAATTCTGACCTGTCCTATAGGTTCTCTGTGTGTTGGAATCAACTCAATGGATATGCTGTGGTTATTCTTTTTTTTTTTTAATCATTTTATTAGGGGCTCATACAACTCTTATCACAATCCATACATCCATCCATTGTGTAAAACACATTTGTACATTCATTGCCTTCTTCATTCTCAAAACATTTGATCTCCACTTAAGCCCCTGGTATCAGCTCCTCATTTTTCCCCTCCCTCCTCGCTCCCCTCTCCCTCATGAACCCTTGATAATTTATAAATTATTATTTTGTCATATCTTGCCCTGTCCGATGCCTCCCTTCACCCACTTCTCTGTTGTCCGTCCCCCAGGGAGGAGGTCACATGTAGATCCTTGTAATCGGTTCCCACTTTCCACCCCACCCTCTCTCCACCTTCCCAGTATCGCCACTCACCACTGGTCCTGAAGGGATCATCTGCCCTGGATTCCCAGCATCAACAGAATCACTTTCCATGTATTCCTCATTATAAATTTGATTTTGTTATGCAGGCTAGGATTAATGCTACACTTCTTCCCTAGAAGAAATGCCCCAGAGTGTTCATATATCCTTTCTTTCCAGACTTAATTTTAGGGTTTCCTTTCATTTCACTTATCCTCATCCCACACCCTTTTTCCAGATATTCCACTCTGTGGTTCTGTCCTCCAGTTTCAAAACCCATAGCAAATACAAAGTCATCACTGGGTGAAAGACGAGGCTTTCTGCCCTGTAAAGAGTTATGGGCAGTTGTACCCTGGCCTGTAGGGTCTCTGTGAGTTGGAATCCACTCAATGGCAGTGAGTTTGGGTTTGGTTTTGTTTTCATGAAACTTAGATTTTATAATTTAAAAAATCATTTTCATTGGGGGCTCTTACAGATCTTATAACAACCCTGAAATCAATTATATCAAAGAAACGTACATATGTTACCATCATCATTTTCAAAACGTCTTTCTACCTGAGCCCTTATCATCAGCTCCTCTTTGTTCCTCTCCCCCAACCCTCCCAACCTCATGAACCCTAGATAAATTACATATATATACATTTCTTCATATTGTACACCATCCACTGTATCCCTTCACCCATGTTTCTGTTATTCGTCCCCCTCAGCAGGGGGTGAGGGGAAAAATTTATATTTCAGTAAGCTAATCAAGCAAACAATTAACTACTCTTATATGCTCCAGTTCAGTCAAGTCCAAAGTCTCTGATAAATATTCCGAGTAATAAATACAGCACAATCTAAAATTATGTTTCTGTCCCCTTGTGTGGGGAACAGAAGGAATTCTCTTAAGTTGTCTCCCCAAAATATGTACCAAACTTAGCTGCTTTAGCGTGACTGTTCTTTAGGCAGCGAAAGTAGGTCAGAGGTTATTCTCCTTAACATTGGCCATCTATAGTGGCTAGACTATTAGTCTGACTCACCCTAAATAAAGCCCATTCCTTTCTGTTATTGTTCCCTCGAAGCAGTGCCCATAGGCAAGCCTGGGACCATTCTAAGATGACTAAGCTTAGGCTACTATCTTGCCACACATGCCCCCTATTCCCTCCTCTTACTATTGCACATTTACCCTTAGGTCATCCCCCTCCTATTGCTTGTATTGCCTATGTTAATACCCCGCCTGGTGACTCAGGTTATTGTCCACTATCAGGGAACTTGCATGCCTCCCAGAATAGTAATTGTCTTGTATTATGTGAAACGTTAGAGTGATCAAACTTGTTCTAGAATGAATTATATTGCCCCTTTCTGTGATGTATGACTCTATGATGCGTGGTTAGCAATAAGTAACGAGGCTCCCTGGTACTCGAGAGGGTGGCTGGCCAGAGGGTGGCTGGAGAAGGTGACTAAGGAGGACGAAGCAGCGGCTTCTTCTCTGACGGCTAAGCCCCCTCCACGAGGACCATCAAGCCGGGTTGAGGTGAGATATGCTACCATGAATTGCGTCTGACTCCATTACTTGACTCTATCCTTTAACTCTCATGCTCTCTATGACTTTACTATAATCTCTACTTATTATCGCTGTACAATTGCGCCTACCAAACCTGTGATGTTTTGTGGGGTTCCCTCTTACCCTTAACCCCACACCCTTGTCTAGTCTTCAGAATCCATTTATAAGTTTATTCTCTGAATCCATCTTACGGGATACTCATTTATGCGACACAAACCCCCTCCATACACACACACATACATAAAAAAAACCTCCAAAAACATGCTGTGAAGCTTGTATCCTTATTTAAAAATAGTTTTTGGCATATAAATCAGATCATACAATTGTTCATCCATATTAAGAAGAGCTATACAGTCATCACCACAATCAATTTCAGAACATTTTCTTCTCGTACTCATTGTTGTTAGCTCCTCCTTTCCCCCCAGTATCCTCTGCCATGTCCCTAGGTAATTATTAATCCAGTTACTGTCTCTATAGATCTACCTTTACTGGATTTCATACACAGAGAATCAGACAAAATACAAATAATAATAATTTTAAAAAAACCCTCCAAAATGCGACAACAGTGACAAAACACTAAAACCTCAATCACCAAAAAAAAAAAAAGCAGAAAATATTACAAACTGAAACTTTAAAATAGGACAAAAGGGAAATCAAATGATAAAGTGTTATATTTTAAACATTGGCCATAATCAATTTTGTAATGCTCTCTGATAGCAAGGCTATTCATATGGACAGAGGGGGATTCACGAGAGGCTTAATCCATGTCCAGACCCTGCAAATGGATTGTGGGTCTCCACTGTTATCCATAGCCTCCTGCAAACTGGGTGCTCAGAACTTAAACTCTGATGCTGTTCCCTCCTTCAGATTTGGACTTCATTATTTGGTCTTTGGGTCACACAGGTAGTGTGCTTCCATGTGGCGCTTCGCTTAGATGGCTGCAGACGCTGGCAGCCATGCTCTCCTCCCACAGATGGGCTGGCAGGGTTTAACTGCTCACATCTTCCTATTGGCAGCCAAGAGCAGAACCACTGTGTTGCCCAGGCTCCTTTTTGAGACTCCAGGCAAAGTAATTCTCGGCTAGGAATGCCAGATCCTCCACCATTTTCTTGCAGAGCTCGGCTGCAAAGCATACGCAGAACACAAACTAAAATTCAGGGTCTTTCCTGCTATTTCCTTTCACTTCAAGACATTCACCAGCATGTGGCCTGCACCACGACGAACAGCGAGTGGTGACTGAAGGAATGCTTTCTTCCTGTGTCCCTGGGGTCCCCCGCAGTTTCCCTGTAGAACAGAGTTGCTCAGTCTCAGACTTACTGAGACATTGAATGGGATGGTTCTTTGTTGGGATTTTCCTGTGCACTGTAGGTGTAGGATGTGTAGCAGCATCTGTGGCCACAACCCATCCATCCGCATGTGCAAGTTGTTAAAAATAGTCCAAAGTCAATGAAATTGTAACCTGAGGGTTTTTTTCTGAGCAGTTATTTTATATACACTGGAGACCATTCGTCGTGATTCCAGAAAAAGCAAATGACTTGAAGAAGCTAGAACGTAATGATGCTTAAGAAGAGAAGAGGAGGGAGCAATAGAGAGATCAACCATGGTCTAATCTTAATGTATTTGAACACTGCCCTGCCCCTTTTCCTGAGCTCAACTCATATCAGGTCACAAAATGATGCTGGCCCTCCAGCCAGTTATATCTTGTTAAATTCAAGTTTGGTAAACCTGGCTTCTAACAGGAAATAAAGGATTTACAACTTGGGTGGAAGAAAAACGGCTGAAGGATTAAATTGGGTCCAGGATTATCTAAAAGTGAATATTTGCTTTTGTGGGTAAGGAAGCCCACGAATCACAACAAGATATCTACTCCCAGTTTCATGCTCTGACACCACTAAGTGCCCGCCCCCCACCCCATCCCCCAACTGGGACCATCAGAAATGTCTGCAGATAGTGCCCAATGTCCCCTGGAGCACCACAGTAGGTCACTATTGGGAATCACTGTCCTGCAAATGCCAACCCCATTATCAATGTAATTCAGAGCAAAGCTTTTAGATGTAATGGAAAACTGAAAACAACAACAAAAAACCCAGTAGCTTGAGCAAACGAGTTTATTTTCCTGAATACATCCAAGCAGTGCATCTGCATTGTATGCAGTACCAAGGGGGAAGGTTTAGTCTTGTCTCTCTCCTGGCCTTCTACTCCATTCGGACTCTCAGCAGCCCAACAGGACAGGGTAGGACTGCCCCTGTGGGTTTCCAAGACTAACTCTTTCTGAGAGGAGAAGCCTCATCTTCCTCGGAGTCTTCTCTCTAGACTTAAAAAGCATAACGTGGGAAGGGCCCCTCTTCTCCCAGATTTTTTTCTGACACGCTCATGTATGTAGCAGGGTAGGTTGCACATTGGTCTGCTAACTCCAGTTGGCACCCACTGGCCGAGTGTGGGAGTCAGACGAGGCTGCGTGTTCCCATGAAGAAGCCCTCGGGCGCGGCTCTGCTCTGTCTGCGGTCCTTTGGCTGCTGTGAGTCGATGACAGCGGCTGTTTGTTTTACTTCTAAGAGAACCTAGAGACTTGGGTAAGTTAGGGTTCTAAGTTCTACAGCAGCACTGCCCAAAAGATCTTTCTATGATGCTGGCATTGCTATTTGCCCTAATAGGCTGTCCAACCACGCAAGCTAAACTGTTGAAATGTGACCACCATGGATAAGAACAGAATTTCTAATCATATTTAAAGATCAACACACTTATATGGCTAATAGCTCACATATTGAACAGCCACAGGTATGTTTTACGAAATTCAAGGGGCCGGGGGGTTTGGAAGGTTGTTGGGTGTGAGCCACCCAAGAGCATCTCACAGGACCAGGCTCACCTTCTTGGAAATCTCTGTCCCTTTGGCCTCAGCGATAAGTACTCTCTGCGTTCTGCTGCTGTGGCATACTCTGCTGACTGTATTTTGGCTCAGTCCTGGACTACCAGTATGGACTATGTTGTTTTCTTTGTCCCTTCAGGGTCTGGCTTCCCCAGGGGTTTTCCTCATCTCCCTTGCTTGATGAGCTCATCCCCTAATACCTTCCCCCCCGCCTCCAGTGAGCTGATGACTTCCAAATCTGTATGTCCACTTTAGTGCACACTGGCTACATCTTTCCATGCCTCAAATTCAACATAGCTTAAATGGAATAGTTAGTGGTAAAATGGACACTCATTTTGTAACAACTGAATGTCCAACAGTGGCTTAAATGGGAATAAAGATGCAAGCAGGCTGGATATGGGCCCTTTTGGTGCTTAGAGTTTAGTAGGTGCAATAGGGAGTAGGTTTCCTCTACTTGTCCTCCTCCCACTGTGTTCATCTGGTTCCATTTATTCTCACCCACAGGTAGGTTGATTTTTGCTTCCCATTCATAATATTATCTACAAAAGTCTGCAGCCTCAAAACGCCTGACACTCTTAAAAAAGTATTCAGGAACTTTTGTTTGTGTGGGTTATATTTACTTATTAGGAGGAAAGCGGGGATAATGTTCAAGCATGTATTCACTAATTCATTTAAAAATAATGAATCCATATTGATTGTTTATCTTCCTCCTAGCATGTTTTTATGAAAGTAACGATTTTCTCAAAAGAGGAAAAATAGTGAGAAGAACCTACTTCTCCTATTTTGTAGAAGTAAAACATTAATGATTTAAAAAAGCCCTAGATGACCATTGACCTCTGCTCTTCTGCTGTTGCTACAGACGAGGACGGGACACTGGGAGATCAAGGGCCTTGCCTGTGGTCACGTCCCTAGGACGGTGTATTGAAGACTATGTCTGGAAGCTTCTACTTTGTGATTGTTGGTCACCATGATAACCCTGTGTTTGAAATGGAGTTTTTGCCGGCTGGAAAAGCAGAGTCCAAAGATGACCACCGGCACCTGAATCAGTTCATCGCCCACGCCGCTCTCGACCTCGTCGACGAGAACCTGTGGCTGTCCAACAACATGTACCTGAAAACCGTGGACAGGTTCAACGAGTGGTACATCTCGGCATTTGTGACGGCCGGCCATATGAGATTCATCATGCTCCACGACACGAAGCAAGAAGATGGGATAAAGAACTTCTTCACGGATGTCTATGAACTGTACATAAAGTTTGCCATGAATCCGTTTTATGAACCCAACTCTCCCATTCGATCCAGCGCATTTGACAGAAAAGTTCAGTCTCTTGGGAAGAAGCACCTTGTGAGCTGAGCGGGGAGCAAGCCATCCTGACATGGACAGCATTGCCACACCGGTGGCCTCAGGAAGGTGGGCGTTGTAAGTCATGTGATTAAATCCCCTGGGAGACGGTTCTCTGTGGTAGTCTGTTTCCTAACCCTCACGGAACTATGCTTCTATTTAGCGTATTGCATTTCCTGTCACTGAGCAGCCAATCAGGATTTCCTTGTCAATGATATTTTGCTAAGAGTACTTTATCGATCAGATTAAAGTACCTGAAAAATTAAGAGTTAACGCCTTTTTAAACATCAAGAATAAGCTTTTGACTTACCAAAAGCAAATAAAATAGCTCCATCTTGATTTAACAACTCCCAAACAAACGTCAGAGACAAGATGTGATACAGAGTCCAAAGGAAAAGCTTCCCCCGTAGGGAGGGAAGCAGACGCAGACGTCTGGCACCCCTGGGGGCTGATGTGCACCTGGGATGATGATGCGGAAGCATGGTGGCCGTGTGCAAAGCATTCCCCACCAAGCCAACTTCAGAGGCTGTTGTGAAGTTTGGTGTCCAGTGTCACCTGCCTGCTGTTTGTCCTGAATAAGACCAAGATCGTGCTATAAATCTAGAACGCTGGCTCCTTGTTTGTGGGTGCTTTTACCACTTTATACTTACATCATCTCTCTAGGATTTTCTATCCCACAGACAATGAGCTAAGGATTGAGAGAACCTGTTAGTTGCTCTGCCAGTTAAATTAGGCAGGTATTTTAGAGCTGCAAAGATTGGACTCCGTGTATGGATTGAGATAACAGTTGTATGAGCCCCTAATAAAATGTTTAAAAAGAGAAAAAATTAGCCAAGAAAACAAAAACAAAAAAGATTGGACTCCATTAGCATTTCCACTGTGAGCCTTCTAGGCTCTCCAGGGAGGTGGGTGAAAGTGGTCTCTCTCGTATTGGGAGGAATATGGGTCTCACTGTCAAACGGCAAATGCTCACTGAATGGCAACTCAATAGAAAGAAGCAGGTGTTTCTGTGCAGATTATGAGCAGTTGTAAACCTCTCTTGCTTTCTGTATCATTTGGGGGCGAGTAATAATTTCCACGCTTGTTACTGTGCCCTTGTGTGAAGTTGCTAACATAATGGTTTTACTATGTATTTATTTGATTCCTAAATAAAGAGATCTGCCTCCCCAAATAAAGAAATTAGAAATATACCTAGATAGTAAAAACCCACAATCTACTTTTTGGTTCAAAAGCTTTTTGTTGTTTTCCTGTTTTTCTTGGTGTGTTTCTGAGAGGGGCAGGTTGTTTCCCCACTCTTCCGGTCAGTTTGTTGTTTTTGGAGACGGCACAGAGAAGTTAATGGCAATCTTTCAGGCCAATTTCTGAGCGCTTGCACTGCAACGGGCACTATCCACGGTGCTGAAAGTACCATCCTCAAAGGATAGCGGCGCCTCCTAGTGGAGCAAAGGAAACCCACCCCATTGTGATTCCAACTGAGGGACCCAATCTAGTGGAGAAAGACAAGTAGAATGAGTACTCTGTAGAGAAGTAGAATGGGCTGATTTGAAGGCAAATTGTTAGGTGTTCAGAGTTGGCTTCCCTAAGGTGCTGTTTAAGCCAAAGATGGAATGAGAAGAAGCTGCTAAGGCCATGACGATTAGGGAGGGGAATTCCAGGCAGAGGAAATGTTGGTTTGAAGACCTTTAGGTGTAACTGACTAGCTGACTGGACTAGATGAGCAAGGCAGTGTTAGCTGTTGCCAGAGGTGGCCAGGCCTAGTTCTTCAGATAACTTGTGGGCAGCCCAGGCTGCTGGGGGGAAATTGGTGAGGAAGTCAGGAAAGATTCAAGAGGAAGAGGGCAGATAAGCAGACGCAATAGGAAGTTAGTGCAGTAGCGTGAGTAGAGGTGAGGGCAATGTGGGGGCTTATGGACTGGAAATGGAGAGTCTCATACATTATGGAGGAAAAATCCAGAGGAAGAAGATTCGTAATTGTGGGAAGAATGCCAATGTCTGAAGAAAGGACATTGGTTTTACAGGATCAGAGGATGAGTCTTAGGCTCACAAGATGTTGTAAAATTAGTACAGAGAATTCAATTCCTATGTACCTTTCATGGATTAGTTTGTATGGTCCCAACATAGATGTCAACTTGACTTCTCCGTAATTCTCAATATCATGTACTGTATGTACTCATGGATACGCTGTTTTTCAGCACATTTTTTAATGTGTTTTTTGTGGCAAAATTAGGCGCCTCGGCTGATATTCAGGTCGCTTATACTCGAGTATATAGGTATATAAAACCTGGTAAAATTCAAATGAAGCCTTTAGTTTCGTTCCTGTACCAGTGGTATAGGAACCAGTGTCAGCATCCTGTACCAGTGTCAACATCCTGGTGTTGACAATGTTTTGACTATGGTTATGCTAGATCAGAAAAGTTCGCTGAAGGGTACTGTCATAGCTATCTTTTGTGGGGTGGGGCATGGAAAACTGTGGTAGGCTGAATAATTTCCCTCCCCAAAAGGTATATATGCCCTAACCCTTGTCACCTGTTAAAGTTAATACATAATGCAAAAAGGAAAAAAATACCTCAATATGGGACCATTGTTATGGATTATTCAGAGGGGATCTAAATACAATGACATGTAGCCTTATAAGAGGGAGGAAGGGGAAGATTTGTCATAGAAGAGGTGTTCAGTGGATAATATGGACCAGTGGAGATGAAGATTGGGGTAATGTGGCCAAGGGATGCCAGCAGCTGCTAAAAGCTAGAAGAGTCAAGGAATGGGTTCTCCCCTTGAGCCTCTGGAGGGGGCACAGGCCTGCCAACACCTTGATTTCAACCTGGTAAAACTGACTTCAGACTTCCGTCCTCCAGAACCGTGAGTAAATGTTTGTTGTTATTAAAACTGCTAAATGTGTGGTAACAAATTAATAAGGGGTGTATCCCCCAGTGCTGTGGAGCTGATTCTGACTTTTAACAAGCCTATAGGACAGAGTGCCCCATAGGGTTTCTGGAGCTGTAATCTTTATGGAAGCAGATTGCTACATCCTTCCCCGATGGAATAACCAGGGGGTTCGAACCACTTACTTTTTGGTTCACAGTTGAGCACTTAACCATCGCATCAGACGTCTTGCTAGGTGTTTAGTACTGTTTTAGGTTGAGTTCTCATGAAGGGGGAATCCAGTGAAAGATATAGATAGATAGATTTTTTTTTTTTCTTTTCAAAGATTCAGTTTATTTCACTCGGTTACTATTAGGAACCATTCAGGTGGTTACACTTCATAGGAATCCTATGTGTAACACCATAAAACACTGCCCGGTCTGAGGCATCCTCACAATTGCTCTTCAGCGTGAGTCCAGAACCCAATTGCAGCCGCTGTATCAACCTATTTCAGTGAGAATCTTTTTTTTTTTAAACATTTTATTAGGGGCTCATACAGCTGTTATCACAATCCATACACACATCAATTGTGTAAAGCGCATTTGTACATCCTTCTCAAAACATTTTCTCTCCACTTAACCCCCTGACATTAGGTCCTCATTTTCCCCTCCCTCCCCGCCCCCCCTCCCTCATGAGACCTTGATAGTTTATAAATTGGTATTTTGTCATATCTTGCCCTGTCCGACGTCTCCCTTCACCCACTTTTCGGTTGTCCGTCCCCCAGGGAGGAGGTCACATATAGTTCCTTGTAATCGGTTCCCTGATAGATAGATATTGATTTCAAGGAAACGGCTCATACAGCTGTTGAGACTGGCAAGTTCAAATCCATTCATTGGTAAATGGCAGGCCAGCAGCTTCTCCTGACTCATGTGGTTGAAGGGACGGATGAGCCCTCGATGGGCAGGTCAGCTGGCAGGCTATTGGCTCATACCCCACATTCCAAGACACAGAAAGCAGAGGCTGTTTGATGATTGAACACAGGTGAGAGGGTGAGCAAGCAGAAGAAGGGGCAGAGCTGTGCCAGAACACCTACAGACATTGGGTGCAGGCCACACCCCAAGGAAACGGATTGGATACTCACATCACATCATGAAATGGAGCATTATTACATCATGGAAACGCAATCAGTCCAATGTCTACCAACGCACTGAGGACCATAATCTAGAAGTCCATCACAAGTGCTATGAGTTAGCCATCACAAGTACTCTGAGTTTCCGTCACGTGTGAGATTAAGGCTACCACCTTAAACCATCAGTCAAGACACAGAACCGACTCATCGCCACAAAGAAATGCTTTCATGCTGAGGTGCTCTATTCATCCCATCACCGAGTCACTGGCAAACCATGATTTGTTCTCTGTCTTTATAATGTTGTTGTTTTAAGAGTTCAATGGGTGGCTTTTGCAATGGCTGGTGTCAACAAATGCCCAAACAAAAGCAGAGGCCACAGAAATGGTAACAAAAGCAATCTAGCATTCATAAAATAGTTGCATTCAAATGCAGATACGTGGGTATCCCCAACACACACACAACCTAAAATAGTCCTCCAGTCCTGATAGAAGCATCCTAAGAATAATCTCCCAGGGATTGATTCCAATTTATTCCCCAGGAACTGGACTTTAAATGTCTTTTTTTTTCCCTTCTCTGTTTCCCATGCCTCAAACTCACCCCCTACAACTGTCAGTGACATGTGACCAGCATGGTGGTCCCCCGCCCACCTCAAGACAGTTGACCACCTTTACCACTCGATGGAACATGGGATGATTCCCGGGGAAGTCAGGATCTGTTATCTCAGGAGTTAACCTTTGAAGACAACGCATCTTAGAAAGAGTGGGCCGGGCTGGCTGGGCCTTACAGGGCCCTGTCCAGGGATGTAATGCTGGAGGATAATAAGAACATGGCCACCCCAGGTCAGGCCTCTGGATGGTTCCCCCTTACAGACTCCCTTCCCTTCCTGACTTTCCCTTCAGAAGCCTTAGGCCCCCAGCTCACTCTACAATAGAAACACCCCACTTTACACCCACCCCCGCACCTGGTCTTGAAGTTTGAGGTGACCTTGAAGGATTTAATGTGAAGACATTCACCATGCAATGCAGAAAACAAACTCTTCTAAATTTTCCAACCTTTCTGGGGTCAGAACCCACATCTTGTTCCCTGAATTCCTCCGAACTTTCCTCTAGGGCATTTCCTTTTTCATCCCACCAACTCCCACAAGAAGGAGCCTGGGAAGGATTCTAGGAACAGCTATCTCAGACACACATTCTTTCCCTTGGCGAAGGGTCTCCTATTTCATTTCTCTGAGTAGCATATCTATTTTGTAAACTGGTTCTGGTGCCCGCACTGAAAAAAGGAAATGGGTGGCATTCTGGTGCCCACGGAGCACTGCATGGAGAAGATTCTAGGCACCTAAGAAGAGGTGAGTGGTGAAGAACACTCTTTAATTTCCTTCTGACATTCACAACC